ATCCTGGACACTGGACCTGGGTTAACAGGGCTTCTTCCTCTTTTGCCTTCTTTTGGTGAATGGGGTTGGTTGTTACATAACTGTGCTAGGAGTTTTGTGGTTTCCTGGTCATCTTCACCATGTCAAAATTTCCCAGGGCCCTACCCGTCTCCTGAACATATGTTTTTCTCTAGGAAAATGAGGGGCCACACCCTCTAGGCTTTAATTAATCAGGAAGCCTCCCCTCCAGCTAATGGTAGCTCTGGGAGAGAAATTCAGACATCATAAAGCACCATCCTGATACTTCCATCGGGAGGGGTGAGGAGGCCACGATGCTTTGGTAAGAGAAAGGGGGCATTTCTTTAGCACTCCTAAGCCTTCTCAAACTTATTGACCCCATGTTCAATTCTGATGGGTCATATGGTAGGGAGATGATGCTTCCTCCAAATGTTTCCCTAGGCCACCCATTTCAGTGGTTCATTGTTCTTTCTCATCCTTCACCATTAGCTAGTTTTTATAAGATTTACCTAAAATCTTTTCAAGGTAATGTGACTGTCTCTGTGGAGATGTGAATCATCTTGCTTCCCTAGTACAGATTGCTCTTGAAAACCATTCACTTCTTGGCTACTACCAGAGAAATTTTCCATCTCACCCCCCTTTTTCCACTGTCCATGTGGCTCTCCCCAGCTTTCTGTTTTCAAGGTTGAAATCATAGCCTTTAGGCTGTCTTTAATGAATAGAGTTGCTCAACTGGTTATCTTAGCTTTGTTTAAAATCTTGGGGGTGATCATAGTAGGTATAGTATCTAGATTTGGAGTTTAACAGTATAAGGTGAATGAGGCAGGAATTTAAATTCCCAAAGTTGGGCTTCCTGTTTTTATGTTGAAAGCTGCACCTCCCCCTCCCCCACCTCCTCAGGGAACTCGGGTAGTCAGACCCTTTGTCTGAGGATTGCAGACTCAGATTCATACAGGAGGCCCATGCCCTGTCAAAGTAAGGATCAGAGGCAGGGCTAAAAAACCCTATGGAATCCATCTCAGCCCCTGCCATCAGGCTTTGGAATTGCTGGGCTTGGTACCGGATGTGAGGTACACTGACTTCCTGCCGAGGACTCAGGGCAGTGAGGCCTTGATCTGAGGAGTCTGGCCTTGGGTCAACAGAGGGAGGATCCCAGGACCTTCCAGGGCTCAATGTGAGGAACATGAGGGAGGAGGGAGGGACCCTGGACCCTACAACAGAATCATCCCACCAAGGGCGGGATGACGACAACAGGCGATTTCTGCATCTGGGTCTCAGAGACTCAGGAGCTTTGGTATAGGGAGCAGGACCTCAGATATGCAGAGGACTGGACCAAGTCCTGCCAGAGTCAAGGTGAGGACCCTAAGGAAACAGTAATGGGACTCTGTATACCACAACAGAGGCGACACCACCAAGGCCCTCCCCCAGTGTAAGCCCTGGGAGTCCCCAGGGTGGGATGACGACAACAGGCAATTTCTGCATCCGGGTCTCAGAGACTCGGGGGCGTTAGTATAGGGAGCAGGACCTCAGATACACAGAGGACCGGCCTAAGTCCTGCCAGAATCAATATTAGGATGTAGGGATCCTGGATTGCATAACAGAGGGGACCCCACAGAAGTCCACCCTTGCTGTCAACCCTTGGAGTCCCCAAGGCGGGATGACCACACGCAGTGTTTCCTGACTTCCACAAATGGGTCTGAGAGATCCTGGGAACATGGTATCAGGAAAAGGGCCTCTGGTCCACAGAGGGGAGGGCCCAGGTCCTGCTGGAGTCAACCACGGAGGCAGCAGGGCCCACAGGCCGGAGGCTACCTCACCACGCCCGCCTGTCCCCGCCCCGCCCACCCCCGCCTGGCGTTTGGTCAAGCCTTCGGTCGTTTTGGATGTTACAGGCCCTAGCTCTTTATATATATAATAGATCAAGGCAACACTTTGAGATAATAACAGCTCACATTTACTGACTATATATCAATTATCTTCACCCCAAACTAGGAGACTTATTTGTACATTAGTTTGTTACTTCATATATTCACTGAGTTAATAAATTTTTTTGAACATCTAATAGAAGCCAGGTATTATGTTTTATATATGATATGTGTAATTTTCACAACTACAGATGACCCTTGAACAACAAATATGAGGGTTAGGGGCACCCACCCCATGTGCAGATGAAAATCGTGCGTAACTTTTGATTTCCCAAAAACTTAACTACCTACCAATAGCCCACTGTTGACTGGAAGCCTTACTGATAACAGTCAATTAACACATAATTTTTGTTATATGTATTATATACTGTATTATTACAATAAAGTAAGCTAGAGGAAAGTGTTAAGAAAATCATAAGAAAGAGAAAATATATCTACAGTACTATATGTATTTATTGCAAAAAATGTGCATATTAAGTGGACCCAAGTAGATCAAACCCATGTTTAAGGGTCAAATGTACTGTGATAAATAAGCATTATTATCCTTACTTTTACACATGAGCAAATGAGACTCAGAGGGCTGATGAAGCTAGAAGGTAAAATGAGGTCTATCTATGGGTTTTGAAGCCCATGATCTTTTTTCTTTTGTTTGTGCTTTTTAAAAAGCTTCTTATTAAACTTATATGTCCACATAGCATAAGGAGAAATTTTCTATAAGGCTCATTACAAATGATAGCAATCTTCTGCCATTCGCATTCCTTTTCTACTCCCCGAAGACAATGCTTTTGAATTAATTTAACTGATTCTATCAATATTTATTGTACTTACATTGCTATCATATTCATAGCCACAGATAATGATTAAGCATGTTCCACCACATATTTATACACCTTCCACAAACACAGATGTGCCGCCAATAGAATCATATCATAATTTTAGTTAGATCAATATACAGTATTTTCTTTTAGTAATTTTCACTATTTTTATTATGTAAATAATATTCACAGCTAAAACATGTAGTTCCCTGCATAACCTGTTTTTTTCTAGAGTTAATAAATGTTATTCTATACTTGCTTACTTTTCTCTATAGTTTCCCCATTTGTGTATATCTCCTCTCAACATGTTCAAACATAGTAGGTACTCCATCAAGTTTCATATTCTTGAAATCTCTCTCCCGAGCCTCTCTGATGTGGTTTCCCTCAGTGTTTGCTGTACAACTATCAGTTGAAAAGCTACTTTCACAGACACAATAGAGAGTACTTTTGTCTCTTACTGTTTTATA